GTTTTTTTTTTAAANTTAATAATAATAATAATGAATAAAATTATTCGAACCAGGTTTTTTGAAGATAACTTACTCTATTAAATTTAGTCCTCAAACAATTCTGAAAGGTAAAGCTTTGGCCGTTCTTCATGTCATGAGAATTGAAGTATTAGATTAGATGGTTGTGACTATTTTGATTAGGCGTAGTGTCATCAGGCAAACTTCAGTTACTTTACCACCCTATAAAGTAGAAATGAAGGCAAGTTAATTTTGAATAAATGTAAATAAGGTTATGATAATATAAGATTAGAAAATTATTCATCAATCTAATTTCTAATTAGTCTTCTAATCAATGTCTAGTTTTTTATAGCTCAATAGAAAACTATGTGTATTTAAAAATTATATTTGTTTTATTATATTTCCAGATATTATCGTATATACTGTTATATATTGTTTATTTCTTTAATAATATGTATTCGTAAAATAACGAAATTCTTAAACATACTGTTGCCTTCGGACTGCATCTAACGAATTTAGTCGCCGCTGTAATTTGTGTGGAAACAGTGAATTTGCGATTGGAAAACAATAAAATTCCAAACTTGAATTACGCTTTGTATTTGAACAATGAATTACAGAACACGAAAAAAGTGCTTTCTGACATGGTGGCATAGTCTGCAGGATAAAACTTAATAAATTGTATTAAATAATTATTTTTTTTGAGTGTGTATAATTTCTTAAGTAATTGGATTTATTCACTGTAAAGTTTCTAAAACCGACACTTCAAAACCGGCGTCAACGTGCACATAGCGAATAGGCGGATGATGAGGATACCGTGGATAGAGAAGGTTAAAAATGAAGCGGTATTAGAAAGAATAGGAGAACAGAGGACTCTATGGAAGCCAATAGGAAATAGGCGAGATAGGTTGGTAGGACACCTTCTCAGACATGAAGATCTAGTTAGAGAAACAGGAGTTAAGAGGAGTAGAGGTAGACCTAGCTTAAATTACCTTTCGTGAATAGTTAAGGACGTGGTGGGTTGTTCTACTTTTGGGAAAATGCGAAGATTAGCTCAGGATAGGAAAGAGGGGAGGTGCGTGTCCATCTAGTACTAGGACTGACGACCTTATGATGATGATACATCCCACTTACTGCTGCTGTATTTCTTCCACTCACGCATCTTATATTAGCGCTTTGCTGACGATCAGCTAGCAAGCGTACCTTTTAAAAAAATAAAGAGCTGGGCTGCAACGTAGAGAAGTAGTAAATATTAGGAAGGGAGTCAGAGAAGGATGCACACTGTCATCGCTATTTTTTAACCTATACATCAAAGATGCGACCAACATCATTAAAGATACTACAATTATACGGATAAATATAGAGGAGCAGAAGAATAGTATGCTTAGATTCGCAGATTACATAGCAAGGAGAAGTTAGAGATAGTTTTAAATAAAATGGAAGCGGTATTGACAAAACAGTATTGCATGAAAATAAATAAAAGTAAAACTAAAATATTGGTATGGAAGGAAAGAAAAAGTAGGGAAAGAGCGAATATAAAGATAGGAGGCAAAAGATTACAAGATGTGACTGATTTTAGGTATATAGGAAGTCAGATTAGTCAGGACGGAAGTACTAGTGACGATATGAAGCAGAAGATAGGACAGGGTCGAGTCGCCTTGTTCAGGATAGTAAAAAGTGCAGATATTCGTGTATGACTATCTGTCGTGATGATAATGATCATTGCTACCCTTCTTCACCCGCTTAGGGGTAGAATTTTGACATATCCTTACTTATTCCTGGTATTCATCATAAAGAAAACCTCTGTGTAAAACTTCCTTTACTTAGGTTTAGCGGTTTAATGTAGGCGTTAATGGTGGTAAAATATAAATTATTAAAAAATTAAACGTTATGTTTGAAATAACCATAACAGTACTTATATGTAAACTAAGTAAATATTTAAGAATTCATAGGGTTTTCGAAAATTAGCACAAGTATTTGTCTGTATTTTTGTCACTTTTGACATATAGACAATTTTAAGTTTCAATGTGTAATTTTACTTCACAATTGTGCATATATTCTAAATTTACTGGATCATAATAAGGGAACTTAAGAAGGTTCGTTTACATATCCTTTTACAATTGGCATAAAACGCATATTGAAATATACTTAAGGAATATTGTACAATGTACATCCTGTTTGTGATAGACATATACTCCTGCAGGGTAGCTAGGTATCCGAAATTTCCGGGTTTACCCTGGAATTTGTTGTTCTGTCTATTGTTCAGACATTACTGTTTTCTTTTGGCAATGGAAGATACGTTATTTTCTTTATCTTTTGCGACTTATTTAGGCCAACGTGATTCTTAGATTTCCATGTCCGGAGAATTGTGGAGCAGATCGTTGTCCAAGGTAAATAAATAACTGTCTGAAGTATTCAGAGCTTGAGGCCTGGGGTTATAGCGCAGAAGAGTCACATTCCCGAGTGACTGCTGGCGCCTATTGGTTCTGTAAACGGTTTTAGTACATTTCCATGACCTGGCAGCTTTTACAGTTTAATGATCTTGAAGGAAATCCATGAACATACACCTTCTCAGTCACAAAAAAAATCCCAGTTGGAAGATATGTTTTTGCTTTCACAAGACTTGCATTTGATTTTATATCAATTAGCAGAGAAACTCATTTTGCAAATATTATATCACTGAAAACGAGGACTCAGTGATTATGGCTTGGGAACACTCCGTATAGTATATAATTGGAAGACATACGGACTCAGCATTTCTATTGTCGTGGTCGATTGACCAAAACTGGGTCAACCATCGAATTCGGACCAAACTGCTAGATAAACATTTTACGTTTAATCTATGTACATAATAATAGTATAAATACTGTGTAAATATTCGAATTAATCGGTCTCGCAAATAGACTCATCTTCTTCTGATCGTTGGCTTCGCAAAAAGATCATAGTCATCTCATCATCCAGCTCCAGTCTCGCAAATAGATTGGAGCTTTTCAACTTTATTTTGGTGACCCCGACGTGATGGAGAAAAAAGCTTTTGATGGACAAATATTCTACAGCACCGTCCAATGGACTACAGTAGACTATGGTTTCCATTACGGGAATCGAATCCGAGCCTCCTGGGTGAAAACCATTGTAGCGTCTCGCACGCTTCAATGGAATGTGCATTCCCGTGAATGATGCAAATTTATGTACAATATCATGAGTTGTACAGGATTAGTTGTTTATAATGAGGTCAAGAATAATTCGAATATTGTCATCCGACATAACTGTTCTTGCGATTCATCTTCTACAGCTTATACAGTCTCTCTTAAATTTTGTGGCCTAGTCATAGTCTTGGGTATGTAACACTATTGTATTTCTAAACTGATGGATGTGAAAATTTGACGCCGTTGTTCATGGGGAAACAACACAATGATACGTTCTGAAATCGATGATGGAGCCTCCTATATTGACATAATGCTACTTGTTGTAGATCGTAAATTCAGTGATGAATTTCATTTATGTATTTATCCCCTTCCGATATTCTTATAGCCCACAAGCTCGTTTGAGTTTCAATGTGAGTTGGGAAAATAAAATTCTGGTTAATTTTTGACCAACCCTTGTACATTTAGTAAAACACATTATGTAAAATGGAATAAAATAGAAAGGAACTTTGAGGAAGTTACGGGAAATAATCGGAAATATTTCACGACGCTATAAATAAGTGATCGGTATCCTACGGAATATATTTGATATAAGAGTATCTACTTTTATGTTATCTCAGGTATTTATAGATTTTGAACTCATTGAGGCTTGGTTTGTTTGCGGTTCCATACCCGGAAATGGAACTTTTTCATAAAAACTTCCAAGTGATGATATTTGCTATTGATTCCTGAAGTGGGGACACCTAGCTAAATGAATATCCGGTAAAAACGGTCTGTAACCATTGAGCAAAATGTGTAATGGGGTATTAATGTTACCGGAAATGTATGAAATCTAGGAATTGTATACAATTCCTAGGAAATGTATACAATTCCGAAGCTATTTACGAAATCTACAAAATAGTGTTTCAAAGATTCTTTAATACACACATATACTAGGAAATTTATACGTTTCCTAGGAATTATATGAAATGCCGATATTGTACCAGGAAATGTATAAAACTAACGCTTTCTCTGAATAAAATGAATGTTGAAATAATTTCTTCGAAAAGTATGTTTCGTTATGATCCCATTAATTCCATTCCATTCCATTCATTTCAACCCATTCATTAGGCGCCCAACATATCTTTAAATATATATGTAAATGATCAGCATTATCACTTCTACAACATACTAAAACTTCAAGGTAATCGTGTTTGCTGAAACAAAGATAACCTCCTCACATTATTGCAACATCTAACGTATCAACCCTACTCCAGCAGGCAGGGGTGTTAAAGAAACTCCAATCTGTCATAAATCTTACACGTACATCTCCAAATAGCCTGGCGTATAATTGCCTATTTAGTACCTGTAATACATTTCCGATTGCTGTTTAGAAAATGTATAGATTTCCTAGGAAATGTGTCTAATATAATTTATTTTACACATTTCCGGGCCATATTAGGAATTATACAAATTTCCTAGGAATTGTATACAATGACGGATTTCATACATTTCCGGTAACATAAATATTAAATTGCATTTCTGTTAGCATATTGTGATTCGTTTGGACACTTCAAGGCATGATGTTAATGTTTGACAGCTTGAAGTGTTGTCTTGAACGGAACAACTTAATAAGTGAGACATACCTAAGAATAATTTCGATAAACATTTGTTATCGTTTTTTAACTTAACATTAGGATTTTTCCGCAATTGATGGGTATTAGGCTATTTATTACGGTTAGATTATCGCCTTATTGCCTGCCAATCATGGATAATTCCTTTTAATCAATGTGTTTCCTAAATCTTTAATATGGCACGATTGACATTCATTGCAATTGTAATTTGACCAGTGAAAACACTTTTTGTAAATGGATTTTGTTGCAGGATGACGACGGCATGGGGATATTCTTTAGTTAATGGTAAGTTATTATTATGTATATTCATAAGCTAATTTTAATTGTTAAAAGAATGCGTTTTATGTAACAGCATGAGGATTTACTGTTCTGTTGCTCTATTTTAAAGAAAATTGATATCTGTTGCGGAAATTTTAAAATTGCAAAAAATATCATTATTATTATTGAAATTTATGTAGCAGTTCAGAAGTAGAGTTTTAAATCATAAGTACAAGTATCGTACTTACATCAAATTAATGATCTCGCGCGTGCGTGACTAAAGCGTGCACCGCTACAATACATTTATTTTCGTGACGTTTTTAGGACTTGGTATCATCATCATAATCATAAAGTTGTTAGTCCCAAGATTGGTTGGACACGCACTTCTTCTTATCCTGAGCTAATTTTCGCATTTCCCTCAAACTAGAACAACCCACATCCTTAACTATTTGCGAACAGTAATCTAATCTAGGTCTACCTCTACTCCTCTTAACTCCTGTTTCTGCCTCTAATATGTCTCTGACTAGACCTTCATGCCTGAGGAGGTGTCCTACCAACCTATCTCGCTTAATTTTCATCGACTTCCATTCCTCTGTTCTCCTATTCTTTCTAATACCTCTTCATTTATAACCTTTTCTATTCACTCTATCCTCATCATTCACCGGTAACACCACATTTCGAATGCCTTTAACCTTTTCATTTCCGCCACGCCCACCATTCATGTTTGGCACCCGTACAGCGCCGCGTTCCAAACACACCCTTAACAATCTTTTCCAAATTTCTAAATGAATCGTTCGCGAGCATAGAAGTGATTTCTTTTTATTGAAGCCGACTCTACCCTGTGCTATCCTCTGCTTTATATCCCTACTACTCCTTCAGTCCTGACTTATCTGACTTAACCTAACCTAATGTTTCGTCTCCTATCGTTTTGTTCGCTCTTTCCCTACTTTTTGTTCCTTGCATACCAGTATTTTTGTTTTGCTTTTATTTATTTTCATACAATACTGTTTTGTCAATACTGCTTCTATTTTATTTAAAACTATCTTTAATTCCTCCTTGCAAGATGTTAATACTGCTTACCATCTTCAAATCTGAACATACTAATCTTTTGCGACTCTAGGTCTATGTTTGTCTATGCATGTTTAGGAATATGTTGAGAAAAACTGGAAAAGTTCAACGTGAATTTCTATATTTTACCTGAAATGTGGAAGTGTAAACAAATCCGTACGAGTATAAGCGCTCATAAAACGTAAATAGATCCACTGTTTTAATAACGGTGAAGGACAGTTATTCTGAATTGTTTTAACAGGAAAAAAAAATACAGCTGCATCATAAAATGGTCAATTATTTAACGGAAGGTTGATTTAGAAAATTACTACAGTTTATAAATCTTCTTCGTAAATTCAATTTGGTACGTGTTAAACATGATGCTTTCATTGAAATCATTGCTTGCTAGCAACGCGGGAGGCTGTGTTCGGGTCCCGTTCGGTGGAATGCCTTTTTTAGTTATAGAATTGATTTACTCCTAATTCCGAGACCTCAGATAGCTAGTAAATGTATAAATAAAGATTCTTTTGAAATACAAAATGAGAACTGCTGTATTTAATTGTTGTTTATCTATATGTTGGATCGAATGGTTACTTTTATGTCTGTGATGAATGATTTATGAAGGAGAAATTCAGGTAATTTGGGCAAACTTTACTGTAACTTGTTTGGATGACGGGGGAGGGGTACGTTTCTAACAATCCACTTGGAAGAGGGGATAGATATAGAGGACATCGTCCTACCTGGGGCTACCTCCGGTTTCTCTAAATCTAATTGAGGTGAATCTTCTTTCGCTTAGCGTATGGGATGCAACCACTACTACTACCTCAAACGGTTTGGTAATATAGGCAGAAAGATTTCTCAACTGGAGCTTCCGGGTTTCTCGTAGTATCAATCTCCATCATTAGTCGTTTGTATAAAGGATACGTCCTCCTTCCAGTTTGATTACTTGTACTCTGGCATTGGAAATCTATTTCGGGTTCATGGCATCGTCACATTTCCGTGACCCTTGACACTCATGTCGGCTAGGCTACCCCGGCCACATTTGATGAGTGTAGGGTGACGGGCAGGGATGAAACTGATTACTTCTCAATTTCTCATCTTTTGAATGAGTTGTTTCGAAATTATCTTTGTGTTACTTTATTGGTATCCGTAACGCTATCCCCTTTAGTTTCAACACACGTGCTCGTCCTTCGAGAATTCAATTGAATGTGACGAGATCAAATTATTGAGCACTATCGCGAAGACATATTCGAATAATAAGCAGGCGGACTGCCTACTAGGAACAAGGAATATATATGTTAGGCCCGAAGACCGAAAACGCTCAGTGACCGGAAAAAACGGCCACATCGCGTTCTGGCTGCCTTCGAAAGCACAGAACGCGTTTTGGCTGTTTTTAAACGCTCGCAACGCGTTCTGGTAACTGTTAAACAGCCGGAACGCGTTTTGTCAATTGTTGAACGCTCACAACGCGTTCTTAATGTTCGACTTGTATTATTTGCCGCTTTCTACCTGCGTACAATGAGATTTATATTGTACTTATAAAACAAATGAATTTCAATCCATTTTTCAGTTTTTAGGAAACAATTCAATTATTGACAACTATAATTGGATACCAAAGATGGGTTCGGTTTTTCTCGCCGAATCATTTCAACAATATTAAATTTCTTATAATTGTTTTTCAGTTCTAGGAAGAAAGTTACACTGAACACTTATATTGTCGAGACTTCTGATTTTTGGGCGCATTTTATGCATGCTCAACTTCTCGTACAAGCAATTCGTACCTTTCCTCAGACAGCAACATAGATCTATCGTCACAACTATCAATAATTGGTTTTACTTTATCATAAAAAATTTCTTTCGCTGATTTATCAGACATTTTAATGAAAGTGTAACTTTTCAAACGACTTTAGTAAGTTGTTTAGTCAATGACAGACTGATCTTCTCGCTACACTGACGAGAACTGTACTGATTTTTCATGAAGTCAAGTTAGTTATTATATACTCAAACTACTAAGTGTTCAGTGTAACTTTCTTCCTAGAACTGAAAAACAATTATAAGAAATTTAATATTGTTGAAATGATTCGGCGAGAAAAACCGAACCCATCTTTGGTATCCAATTATAGTTGTCAATAATTGAATTGTTTACTAAAAACTGAAAAATGGATTGAAATTCATTTGTTTTATAAGTACAATATAAATCTCATTGTACGCAGGTAGAAAGCGGCAAATCATTAAGAACGCGTTGTGAGCGTTCAACAATTGACAAAACGCGTTCCGGCTGTTTAACAGTTACCAGAACGCATTGCGAGCGTTTAAAAACAGCCAAAACGCGTTCTGTGCGTTCGAAGGCAGCCAGAAAGCGATGTGGCCGTTTTTTCCGGCCACTGAGCATTTTCGGTTTTCGGGCCTAACATATGCAAAGAGTCAAAGTATTAAATTTCCCAGGTCTGTGAGATTGTGTTCAATAATTTACATAAACGTAGTGATAAGCAAAGTCTTCATCTTGCTCAAATACTTCTAAGTTTGGTTTTGGTCTTGGCATTGCTGTTATAGTCTCAGTCATGATCTTGCAAATCCCTTTTTTGGACAGTGGTAAATTTTCTTTTTTTTTGGAGTGAAACTTCTTTACGTACGGTAGGGTAAGTTCGTTTCATGCGAATTGCTGTGTAACGAAATCATGCAACGGATGTCACCCCTCTACTCGGCCACGTAGTCGAGTTCGTAGTGGGGATCGCTTGAGCCGTGAGCGCGCTTCAATGCAACGTTCGTCACAGGCAACTTCGGCATGTATAGTGTAAAATTTAAATTCATAGTCTACAAATATTACGATTAAAACAATTCTTATCCCCGATCCGGGTATGTTTAAAGAAATTTCACTTCAGTAGCGTGTTGTATAATTACACGTTGTATTTTTTTCTATATTTAGTTTTAAAATCTAATAAACTGAAAATTTCAAGAGTTTTATTCCAAGAAAGTAATATATTAAAGTTGCGTGAAATAATTTATTTCATAAATCCACCGGAAGTAATAATTTTTCGTTAGTCTTGTCTACTTTATTTTGGTCTTGTTCATTCGGTTTTTGTTTTAATCTCGATCTTGTTTGTTCGGTCTTGGTTTTAGTCTTGGTTTTGCTAGTACAAAGACGTTCTTGGTTCAGTCTTACTAGTTTAAAGACGGTCTTTGTTTAGTCTTGTATCTTTGCAACGCCATGACCAAGACTACAAGATCAATTTTGTAAATGTATATGTTGCTATATTCAATTGAAAAAAACATATTACGCTTTTATCGTTGACAAAACCGAAATTGCTTTTCGTGTGTTAGACAGTCGAGTGAACAATTTATTGTTAAACTTTTAGACAAAATAGGTATCTTGTATATTTCCTGTATTATAAAGATATGTAGATTAGTTAAAAGGTATTACATGGAATAAAAGAACTAGTTATCGCCGATAAGGATAATTTTATCTAATAACTACAAGTATGCTAGTTTCCTCTATAATTGAAATTTGCGTCAGCTATCTATCCATTCCCTTTTTTCTTTAACAAGAATGAATCAAATACAAACGTATCCTATGTAATATTATAAAATGCTAATGTGAGTTTAAACGAATAAAATAATTCGAAGTGGTCTGTATTCTGTCGAAACTGCCAGACGCGGATCGCGATTTCGATCTCTTTGGATCACATCAGCGCGCCACAGGCAGCCCGACAGAACACAGACCAACTTTTACCTGCTGTCTTAACAGTGCGTTTTAGAAAATACCACAAATAGCGCAGTAAACGCCATCTGTAGCACGATGCTACATTTTAGGATTAGGTATGCTCCAACAAGGTCCATTTAAATATATGGTTAACTACTTGCTGAAAACGAATCCCGGCGTAGCTAACCTCAACGTGATAGGCACGTTAGCTTAATCGAATATTTTTTTTGTTTGTTTGTTTTTTGTTTGTCTGTCTATTACCATTTCATGGCTTAACTACTCGACCGGTCATCATGAAATTTTGTACACACATCATCAGGGTTACAGAAAAGGATATAAGGTATCTTTTATCCCGAAAAACAATACTGTTCCCGAGGGATAAAAAAATTAGTTTTATGTGGTCGTCGATGATTTTTGACACGTATCTAGAACGTAAACGCGAGCGAAGCCGCGGGTAAAACTCTTCATGAAATTTTGTACACACATCATCAGGGTTACAGAAAAGGATATAAGGTATCTTTTATCCCGAAAAACAATACTGTTCCCGAGGGATAAAAAAATTAGTTTTATGTGGTTGTCGATGATTTGACAAGTATTTAGGATACATTAACGAGAGCAACGCCGCAGGTAAAACTTATCATGAAATTTTTTTGACATTATTAGGGGTATAGAAAAGGATATAAGGTATCTTTTATCCCGAAAAAAAGACACTGTTATGTTGCCGTCGATGATTTTTGACAAGTATTTAGGACATGAACGCGAGCGAAGCAGCGGATAAAATCTAGTAATGTGTACATTAGGAAAGAATTGGATGCATGTTTACAAATGTTACGTATAAATGCATGCGCTTAGCTTGTACATGTAAATTTTTCATTTTATCGCTCGTAATTATTTCTGTATTTTACCTGAAATGTGGAAGTGTAAACAAATATTCATACGTGTGTACGAGCGCTAATAAAATGTAAATAAACCCACTGTTTTAATAACGTTGAAGGACAGTTTCCCTGAATTGTTTTAAAACGTTAGGAAAAAAAAAGTGTAACAACTGTATCGTAAAACCGTGAATTATTTAACGGAAGGTTGCTCTAGAAAATTACCGAAGCTTAATTTGCATGAAGATCCAGTTTATTATATTCTTCTGAAATTCAGTTTGATACGTTCTAAACGTATGTTTTTTTGATTAGCTAAATTAATCATTTATTGTATGTTACAAAATTTTGGACCATGATGATAATAAATATTTATTGATCAACACCAGCCGCATATATTAAAAATTCTTATTAATGTTAGGTAAGAATAAATTTAACAAAATTTAATTATTAAAAATCTGGCAAATTTTATTGACTATTTATTGTAAAATAATTAAATTACTCTCCTATTTATTAGTTTATTTACCTTTTCATACAATGTATAAGAGGTAATTGTATCGATTACTTAGTTGCATGCGATGTTTTCATAATCGTTTCCAAAGCAAATAACTATATACAAGTGGATTAAGTGCACTCGGGTAGGTAATTTCTTTTTTGATTGTTTATCGATAAATTATCGTAGGTATGATATAGTTATTTAAAATACGGTAGAATTTTTTCTTTTGCTATTTAATGCATGTTTTGCACTATCAGAACACAATTTCAATTTCAAAGAACCTGAAATTTTGGATTGGGAAATTAACTATAAAAATCAGATTATCAAAGAAAAGATACCTACACATAAAAAAAACACCCACACTGTAAACTTCATAACTAATACGAATAATTTAGGAAATATTTAAATAAATTTAATAACATAAACGATAAATTAAAATAATAATAATAATAATAGAAGTAATGTTTAAAATTAAGTTAAAATCTGTATACAAGCAGTAACACTTTAAAAGGTATGTTGTTTGACCAACAATTACATTTTAGTAACAAATGTATAATACCTAACTTAATAGAGCTATAGGTTAAAAAAAAACAAAATTTTTTCAGTCTGAAGATGATTGAATATACCGCAACGTAACAAGAAACATAAAGTTGTTTGACCGCCACATTGGAGAAAACAATATAATTTGAAATTAACGGTCAGGAATAAAATAATTCGAAGTGGTCTGTATTCTGTCGAAACTGCCAGACGCGGATCGCGATTTCGATTCTTTTGGATCTCATCAGCGCGTCGCAGGCAGCCCGACAGAATACAGACCAACTTTTACCTGCTGTCTTAACAGTGCGTTTTAGAAAATACCACAAATGTCGTTGTAAACGCCATCTGTAGTACGATGCTACATTTTAGGATTACGTATGCTCTCGACGCGCTGATGAGATCCAAAAAGATCGAAATCGCGATCCGCGTCTGGCAGTTTCGACAGAATACAGACCACTTCGAATTATTTTATTCTATTATGGTAACGTGCCTATCACGTTGAGGTTAGCTACGCCGGGATTCGTTTCGGCAAGTAGATATCCATATATTGAAATGGACTTTGTTGGAGCATACGTAATCCTAAAATGTAGCATCGTACTACAGATGGCGTTTACCGC